ATATATTATATAGCATAGTAATATAAAAAATAATGGGCAATTGAAAGATAAAATAACTAAATTTACATTGACATAATAATATTCATCAATTTTTTTTAGTAAACTTACAGTAATGTAGTAAATAAAAAAAGTAGCTACAAAAACTAAAACTAGTACTTCACAGAAACTATGAATATTTCTTTGAAAAGGACGAAATATTAAAATCATTAAAACAAGTAATAAAACTAAACTACATTGTATTACTGAAACTATAAAGAATGCAAATGTAGATGATACAAGCCAGTTGAAAAACTGACAAAAAAATATAAGAATTCTCAATAATAAATAGAATCCAGCAAAAAAACGATAATCAAAAGTATTTTCAGATCCATTCTTATAAGGACCAGTAAACACATCACCCAGTGATATCAGTAGCTGTTTCCTCAAACGTAAGCAATCCAATGACTTCTGAAATCATTTGAATGGATAAAAAAGTACATAAAGTGTAGGAAGGAGTATAAAAATGAATAAAACTAAGATAGCAAAAACACTCGCCAATACATGAATAGCACCAAAATAAATTTTTTTTGCATCATAAAAAAAGAAAAACAAAATTTCATTGTCAGAATACTGAAAACGAAAACGTAATATTTTGAAGGAAGTGACAGCTAACTGAGTGAAGCAGAGTATATATATTGATGCTATAGAGTGAGTAAAAGATGGTTCAATGCCAGTCATACTCCAGAAACGAGCCATGCAACAATGAAATGGTCTAGTAACCAATACTACACACTTGTAACCTTTATCATACCATGTTATCCAAACATAGAGTAAGAGGAGAAGGAGCAATGGATATAATCCTACCACATACCAAAAGGAGATTGCTCCTAATGGTGACATGTGAGGAGCAATGCATAATGAATAGTTACCAAGAAATGGTGTAAAGTCTAAATTGAAGACATTGCAAGGTGAGACAAAGAGATCATTAGTTTGATAGTCAGTGTCACTGCTAATCAGTAGATTATAATCAGAATAAGCCACAAAAACTATTTGAGAATAGAAAACCAATCCATTAATTGATCCATTAGTTAATTGTATATTAAATGCTATTATTATTAATACAATGAGTGTCATAGGCAGTATTTCTATTCCAATGAAAACTAGTATACTTGATAAGTAATGATGGCAGCTAACACATTGTTTGATTTTATTCATAGGAACTCCATTACCAGAAGGACAAATAGGACAAAGCATCGAAATATTAGCAATAATAATAGTACATAATGATATGGCATTAGTACCATAATGTTCATATTCACAACAATCAAAAGAGCATTGTAAATCTAAAGTATAAGGGCAATGCTTTTGATCTAAACCACACAATGCAGGATGAAGCCACTTCCTTGTTACATTCACAGTTACATTAGTACTGACTGTTATTAGTCCTAGAGTACTAAAATATAATGTCATTTCAGAAGCAGGTGCAGTATTATCATTATATAACTTAAAACAAAATTTTGGATAGCCAAAATACAGATCACAGTCATTATAGTTGTTACATTCATTTATAGTTTCATTACTGCAGTTAGAAGTTGGGTCATTAATGCATACTTTTAACTTATAATTCCAGTCAAACACTTCACCTCTACAATCAGTGACACTAGCTGTGAACTTAAGACACTCACAAATATCTTGTGAGTAACATAGCAATGATAAATTATTAAGAAATTCAATATTTAACTGAGGACAATTGTATTCTACTGCTGGAGATGTATACTTGAATAAATCCGTACTACATGTAGATCTAGGAACAGTGATCCTAACTTGTTCACTTTCATTCTTCATGCTAATAATACTAACATTGTTACTTATCAGTTGCTGTTCTAGTACAGTAGCTGTGTAAGTACCAGCTAAAAGGTATATACTAATACCTGACTCATTGCCTCCTCCTCCTCCTCCTCTTGGTACAGCAGTAGATCTAGCAGATGCTCCTTGTATAGCTAGATCAAGAGTAGCACAAGGTGTTTGAACTCCTCCAGTCCAACAAGAGGTATTGTTGATACCATCAGATGAACTGACATAGATACCAGCAGCAGCAGCGGATAAAACAGGAGAAAGAAACAGCAGGGAAACTGTAGCAAAAAACATGATGATAGACAAATCAGAGATACCCCAGCTAGAGGTTTAAATTACGCCCACGGAATTTCCTGAACAGTGGGCGTCATGGCATGTAGAGAGGGCCTGTGGCATGATTCAGCAGAAATGATTTTTTCAACAAAACTAAAAAAAGCTAGTATAAAATTAAACAAAAAATTATAAACTTGAGTTAGTATTAACAGTTTTATTATTATTGATGCTACCATAATTAGCAGCAATAGTATTGTCTTGAGGATCATATTGTACTGATAAATCATCCAGTTTAACAGGAACATGTCGTTCATTATATTTTTGTGGATTCTCCATACGATCAGCAATCCAATCATCATCATCAACTAATGGCTGATCTTGTTCTTGTACTCTATTGGTGTGATTGTAGTCCTTATAACATTTGTTATTCATTAAGCATAATTTAGCTATTACATAGATTAGTAATACAAAAAATAATAAACCATTGAAACATGCGGTTGCTACACCTGATGATGAATAATCCTTGTCATAATACCTATGGCTAGTGTATATGTATGAAACAAAAATAGAAATTACAAAAGCTAAAATTAGTACTTCACAAAAATTGTGAACATTTCTTTGAAAAGGACGAAAAATGAAAACTGTTAGTGCAAGTAATGAAACTAAGCAACACTGCATTGTTGACAGTGTAAAAAATGAGTCAAGTAATGGCTGAAATATGCCAAACTGAAAAAATATAATAAGAATCCTCAATAATAAATATAACCCAGCAAAGGAACGGTAATCATATGTGCCATTAGTTCCATTCTTATAAGGACCAGTAAACACATCACCCAGTGATATCAGTAGCTGTTTTCTCAAATGTAAACAATCTAATAACTTATGAAACCATTTGAATCGATAAAAAAGTATACAAAGTGTAGGAAGGAGTATAAAAACTAATAAAACTAAGATGGCACAAATACTAGCCAAAACATGAATAGCACCAAAATAAGGCTGTTTTGCATCATAAAAGAATAACAAAGATCCACTGTCATAATCTGGGTCAGAATACTGAAAACGTAATATTTTAAAGGAAGTGACAGCTAACGGAGTGAAGCAGAGTATATATATTGATGCTATAGAGTGAGTAAAAGATGGTTCAATGCCAGTCATACTCCAGAAACGAGCCATACAACGATGAAATGGTCTAGTAACCAATACTACACACTTGTAACCTTTATCATACAATGTTATCCAAACATAGAGTAAGAGGAGGAGGAGCAATGGATAGAATCCTACCACATACCAAAAGGAGATTGCTCCTAATGGTGACATGTGAGGAGCAATGCATAATGAATAGTTACCAAGAAATGGTGTGAAGTCTAAATTGAAGACATTGCAAGGTAATACAAGGAGATAATTAATTTGATAGTTAGTTTCACTGCTATAATAAAAAACATAATCAGAATTAATCACAAAAACTATTTGAGAATAGAAAACTAATCCATTAATTGATCCATTAGTCAATTGTATATTAAATGCTACTATTATTAATACAATGAGTGTCATAGGCAGTATTTCTATTCCAATGAAAACTAGTATACTT